TCATCTATATATTGTGCACCTTTGTTAACACAATGCACTTTTATAAATATCATGTCAAATAAACTTATAACTGGTTAGGGTATGATTTTGGTGGGATTTTTCAAGTGATAAATGAGAATGACCTAAAACGTGTGATGCGCATTTTAGTTAATGATGTTGCACATTTATGCTAAACATAATGCACATTGGTATAACAATTTAATTTATTATTATTATTATTATTATTATTATTATTATTATTATTATTATTATTATTATATTATATTATTATACTATATATTATTATTATTATTATTATTATTATTATTATTATTATTATTATTATTAACATATGAGAATGATGTAAAACGATACACATCTTGGTAAATGATGTTGCACATTTACGGTAAACATAATGCACATTTTAAAGTGGTATAACAATTTAATTTATTTTAAAATGTAGTTGCACTTTGTGATTCATGACAAACACATTTTTTTCAAATCATGTGCAATTGTTACGATCAAAATTATTCTCATTTCTCTTTTAGGATATGATGATTTTGGAGGCATCAATTTCTCACGTGATTGATGAGAATGACCTAAAACGATGCAAGTCTAGGTTAATGATGTTGCACATTTATGGTAAAGGTGATGCACAATTTAAAGTAATATAACAATTTAATGTATTTGAAAATGTAGCTGCACTTTGTAATTAATGACAAACAATTTTTTTTCAAACCATGCACAATTGATAATGATCAGACTCATTCTCATTTCTCTTTTAGAATATGATTTTGATGGGAACAATTTCTCATGTGGCAAAATGGAATGACCTAAAAATATGCACATCTTGATTAATGATGTTGCATATTTATGGTTAAAATAATGCACAATTCAAAGTGGTATAACAATTTAATTTACATAAAAATTGTGGCTGCACTTTGTGATTCATAACAATGCACCATTTTGTTTCACATCATGCACAGTTTTTTAACGATCAGATTCATTCTCGGTTTTCTTTTATATATATCGATGTCTTATTTTATTCAAACTTTATTAATTATATCATTTAGTGTTTTTAATATAGTTAGTATTGAACTATCGATTGTGATAACTGAGTAATTAATTTTGTTATTCATGCATTGCAACTAAAAGAATTGTGCATTTACATTGTGTCAAATGAACGATTGTGCACATTCATAATTTCAAGTAAATAGTCAATTATGGTTAATAGTTAATTTATCATTTTCATTATTGCTAGCTTAACATGTATGCACTTTTAACTATATAATATTGTTGTGTAATTTTTGGTGAACTATGCACATTTATTCAACTATTGTGCACCTTACTCTATCTTTTTTACAATACACATTTTGAAAAATAACTCGTTACGTTCTACAGAGTAAGAGGCTTATAATAATAATAATAATAATAATAATAATAATAATAATAATAATTATTATTATTGTTGTTGTTGTTATTTTAAATGAAACTAAAACTAAAAATTATTACTACCTCCGTTCCATTTTATCTGTCACCTTTGATTTTGACACGATTTTTAATAAAGTGGTTGAAAAGATAAAAGTTGTGGTGAAGATTTGAGTATAGTAAAGTGAAATGTTGTGAATCACACATTTCTTTCCAAAAACGAAAATGTGACACTTATTTTGGGACAATCTAAAAAGAAAAGTAAGAAAGGTAAAATGCGACGGAGGGAGTATTAAATAATAATTATATTAAAATGCACCATCATAGATAAAAAGTGAAAACTAAATAAAAAGGTTTTGAAAGAATATGGCTATTGACAATGAATTACATAAACTAATACAACATAAATTATTATCTAAATACATGTTAGTTCCGTAGGTAAAACACTCCTCAGTGGAGAGAGTCCAAGAGGTTGACTTGCAATTATTATCGAGTTGAAAAATGAAAGCCATCTGTATGGAAGTTACGTAACACGGTAATACGGAGTACATAGAAATGTGGAGCATCCTAAAATATCATAACGGCGCATCCACTTATGCCGTTAATACTAAAACGGTATCTTAATAAATCATACGAAATTAATGGTAGAGATGCATTCTTATTTCTCTCATTAGATGATATTCTCATTTGATCCAAACTCTCTCTCTCTCTCTCTCTCTCTCTATATATATATATATATATATATATATATATATATATGAGATCGGATACAAAGTATGTTTCCCATACAAAATACAAATTTATCTCATCCATCCAAAATTACAAAATCAAGGGCACTAATTGTTTGTTTGGTTAATTTCTTAGCACCAATTGTTGGAAATCAAGGAAAGCTTTCCTATTTTGTAGCAACTAATTAAATATGGTTAGTGAGGGATGTTTTCCCATTAATACACGGTCATCTCACTCATATGAATGGCTAGGATTAATTTGCATTTTGTAAATTAGGATGACTTTGTATTTGATCCTAAGTATATATATATATATATATATATATATATATATATATATATATATATATAATATTAGGTGAAATTGAAATGTGCACTAGATGAAACTAAAATGTGCAGAATAAAAGGTACGATGTAATGTTATTTTTGTACGTTTTATTCTGCACATTTCAGTTTCACCTAATGCACATGTGAGTTTAAATTTTTATTCTGCACATTGCAATATCATCTAATGCACATTTCGGTTTCACCAAATGCACAATTATGTTCCACATAATTTAATCCAACGGTCCAAATTCGTTCTCATTTCTCTTCTAAGATCCGTTCTTACCGGAACCGCTCCATATATATATATATACACACACACACATATATATATATATATATATATATATATATATAAATAAATAATATATATATATAGTAGTCTTCATGTCAGGCCGGCCTGACGGGATGCTCCGTCCGGCCGAGGGCATTTCGGGCACTTCTCGGTGGAATTTTTTGATGAACTTTTTTGAGCATGTTCTTCATGAAGTCTAGTTTATCATATGAACTGCCCAGTTAACTTCAAGAAATTATTTGTGTGTCTTCCAAATTGAATTTTTAGCTGAAATTTGGTATGGATAAACTAGACTTCATGAAGAACATGCTCAAAAAAGTTCATCAAAAAATTCCACCGGGAAGTGCCCGAAATGCCCTCGGCCGGACGGAGCATCCCGTCAGGCCGGCCTGACATGAAGATTTGTCTATATATATATAATAGAGTAATTAATACTTTAATTAAGTTTCCATATTTCTTATGTTTCCTAATGTACTCAGAACACCTTTTATTATATATATGACATATAGGGCTACCACATTGGTAAGCCTCCCATTTATTCTCACATGGTATCAGAGCTCTAGATTTTTAGCCAATTACTAAATTTTTTCCCCGGTTCGATGGCCTCTCAATCTACTTCTGCCGGCGTCACCATGCATATCAGCACCACCACCGATTCCGTTCCGGTGACCGATCCTTCGAGTCCCAGCGCGGTGGAAACCTCCCTGGTTTTTCCGACCAGCAACGTGACGCCATTGTTCAACGACGAGCAGCCTTTTTCTTTGGTCCCTCAGTCCAATTTTTAAGTCGCGTGGATACCTCCAATTTTTACATGGACTCCGACGAATCCCACCACACAGCCGCTGCAGCCTCCCAATTCCGCCATGGTTGAATCCAGCGTCACCGGCAGTCAATGCTTCGCCGGGACTACTCTCTCTGGACATCCGGGACTCATTATGCCGCCTCTGTCAGCCAGTTTGGTAGGCACTCGACCTACTACTTCGACGTTGCCAACATCGTTTGCTACTCTTGCTCAAGGTATGAGTTTTGGTGCTTCTTCTTCACTACGATCGTCACCATAAAATTGTCTAAAGTTGAAGATTATTTAGCCTGGCGTACTCGGTTTGAGTCCTTTTTGATCGCAAACGGTCTCTTGGGTATTCTTGATGGCCCCCTTCCGGCACCACCTCTATATTCCTATGACTTATATCAAACCCAGAGTATTAATCCTGAGTACCACCACTGGCTGAAACTGGACCAGACGGTTCGTTCATGCTTGTTTGCTACATTATCTAGAGATATTCTGATGGAGGTTCATTCTCAGAAAAATTCGAATGCTATATGGCAAAAATTAGAATCCCGATTTATGGCAACCAGTTTGGCCAGATCAATGGAACTCAAACAAATGTTAAACCATACCAAGAAAAAGCCTAACCAAACCATGGATCAGTACTTGGGCGAAATCCGGACCATTGCTGAAAATTTAGCATCCATTAATTCCCCTGTTGCTAATCATGATCTCTTGCACTATGCTCTTATGGGATTGGCTCCGGGTTATGAGTCACTTGTTGGACCACTTACTCTGTTTCCTGAAGGTCTTACGTTTGACAAACTTTGTACCAAACTCGTACATCAAGAGGCCCGGCTCCAATATCAACAAAAGTTGGAATCCAGCGTAGGTGCACCGGCGTTTGCTAACAAACTCGTACATCAAGAGGTTTCGATTTTTGTGCCCCTCTCTCTTTGTTCTCTTTCATTTTTTAAAATAAGATTATGGTAGATGTTTCACGACTTTCTACTCCACTTATTTTGATTGTTTGCCTATCAAGTTAACAAAACTCGCATAAAAAATTAGGTTATTACGTAATTTCATTCTCTATATTATGGTTAATTGTAGTCCTACGAATCTAGGACTCACTTGTGTGGAATTATTGTGGATTGAAATATTGAATATGACAACCAAATCCTAAATCTAAATCGGAATTGGGAAAATGAAAACTAATAATCCAACCTTTTAGCGGTATTCTTACAATAGTCCCACTTTTTCGTTATTCATGAATGATTCAACCTTTGCACCTCATCTTCATTCACTGGTCCCTGACCGGTTAATGACCTGCTGTTCCAAATAATTTTCTTATCTTTGCAAAATATTATCTTTGTGAAATGTGAGATTTATGGATAATTTAGAAATTAGGTTACCAATTTCTTGCTTTCTTTACTTTCTTTCTCTTGGGTGCAAAACTCAAAAGCAGAGACCTTTTTTTCAGAGACCTTTTTCCTGGTACAAATTACGGAGTAGAGAGCGGAAGTAGTCCTTGACGAAATCAACACTAGCAAACGGCGTCGTATGCCTCTGCTTCTCGTCGACCTGTTGCCTCACATGGATCTTGATCCAACTAAACTCGGTCTGCAGAGAGAGAAAGGCGTAAATCTGAAGGGACATCATCATAAGGGAAGTGAACAGCGTGGCAACGGTCGGAGAAGCCATTAGATACCATCATCATCTAAAAATTTGCTTTCTCTCGAGAAAATAAGCTCAGCACTTTTCCTTTTTCTCTCTCTACCTATACATACACCACACTTGTATGCATGCCTCCTGAAGGAGGGTGGAGCTGTGGAAGAAGATTAGGATGATGCATAAAGCTACTAGAAAGAAAAGGGGGATGAGTTAGACAAAATCTGAGCTGCCAATATCGTTTTCTTTAATATTATTGGTTCCTAGCAAGCGCCAACAATGGCTGACGATCTATGTTTCTTCTCAAAGGTACTTGCTTTTATGTGTTCCTCGTATCTTTGATTTCTTTTATACTATCTGAGTGCAAAAGATGATTCCTTTACTATCTTTTTGGATTAAACATCTGTTTCCCCGATCTGGGTATCTCAGGAATATATTCTATGATATAAAAATATTTGCCTTAATTTCAATCTTTTTCTATGAGAGTGTTTGTCATGCATCGAATCCAGAATCTCTTCAGTAAGTCACCAATAATATGCATTATATTTATTATCTAAACTTTGTTTGCATTGTTTTGCGCTTCACTTAAATTATGACTGGATTAGATGTATTTGTAGGGATATTAAATAGATTTTATCACAATAAAGAACAATAAGTCACCTAAGAGTAAGCTCATTGCGCATTTTTCTTGATCTTCATTAGCTTGGCTTGAATGCAATGCTAAAGTATTTGTTTTTTTATATTGAAGTTAAGGATCCGTTTGGTAGAGATAGTTGGTTTATTCTGCTTATTAGCAGAATAAACAACTTTTGACCTACTTATTTAGTTACTCCGTAGTTGTTAGCATCTAAAGAAATGATTTTAATTTGAGAATATATAGCAGATTCAGCCATTTTGAGCAAAATATCCCTTACAAAACGGACCCCAAGTGTATTTGGGGTTCTTATTTAGCTCAAGTGTATTGCGGTACTACTACCTTGTACTGTCATTTCTTTACTTAATTCTTGTGCGTTTATTTTACACGAATGACTTCGTTGTGGTGAAAAGAAAATCAAAACAGTTGTGTTTATTATTTTCCAGGATGGGTTACTAATCAAACCTTCAAAGAAATCTCCACTGCTATTGAGAATGCTGGTCTTGATTTTTGTAATGGTTTGTGGGGTCTATATATGTTCAGTCTGCCTGAAGCAAACAGGCAGTCGCAAGAATACACATTTACTAAATATTGCTGTCGTGGAGAAGCCATGCGACCCACCTAATGTTGAACCTTCAGAGAAACCATATGTGCACTTTCCCAAGCCTAAGACTTTTAGCCGGTAAGATTCCTTCAATTCTATATTTCTATTATTACATTTTTATTTTTTAAACTGTTAGGTTAATTCTCTATTGGCTTACAAAGATGAGTCTAAAATTTCTGATTTTCTACCCAACTCTATCATTTATGTGATTGCTAATCAGACGATAGTTGAAATAATAAAGCATTGCACACGTTTTTATGTTTAGTTTGAAATGGTTGAAATGAAGCATAAGAGCTTGTCTAGTTGGACATATTGTAGTCCAAATCAGACTATAACATGTTTGAATGATATCAAACTTGAACAACAGTCCATGCCAGAAAATTCCAATCCAAATGAACATATTCTAACTATCACTTCTACCTTCACCCTTTAGATATTATTTATTTATTTTACTAAAAAGACATTTTAAATTTATTTTAGATAGCTCAATCAAAATTTTGATCTACCAAAGAGCACTCTCAGTTTCTATTATGTAATGAAATTACTGATTTCTGCATCTTTATGCCGGATAAGTAGGGGTGAGTGTGCATGCAGTCCAGTACGATATTTTGCAATTTTGTCAACACAGAGGTCTGGCAGTGGCTGGTTTGAGACTTTGCTGAACAATCATACAAACATAAGCTCCAATGGAGAAATTTTTTCTGTGAAAGTAAGGAGAAGCAACATATCCACTATCGTGGATACTTTAGATAAGATATATAATCTTGACTGGCTAACTAGTGCTTCCAAGAATGAATGCACAGCTGCAGTGGGGCTGAAATGGATGCTTAACCAGGTAGTGGCTTTCTCTCTGTTTTTAATTGTATTTCCTCTCTCCCTTTTTTCTACGGGGCAGCCCGGTGCACATTGGTGTCCCCTCAAGGCAAGGGTCCGGGAAGGTTCCCATCACAAGTGTGTAAACGGAACAAGCCTTTACTTGTCATTTTGACAAGAGACTGCTCTCAAGACTTGAATCCGTGACCTCTCGGCCACACACCAACACCGTAACCGATGTGCCAAGGCCCCCCTTCTCTCTCTGTTCTTTAAAATAATGGAAGAAATTATTATGCAGCTTGTATGGATGGTTTTACGTCATAAAATTATGCATGGGAAAAATATATTATGTATTTATGTAGGTTCGAAAAATATATTATAATTTGGCATAATCTAAATTAGCAAATATTCAGTGAACCATTTGGTTTTCATTTTAGGGTCTGCTGCAGCATCAAGAAGATATAGTGGAATACTTCAAGAAGAAAGGAGTTTCAGCAATTTTTCTCTTTAGAAGGAATCTTTTGCGTAGAATGGTTTCAATACTAGCTAACTCATATGATCAACGTGCCAAGTTGCTAAATGGAACCCACAAATCTCACGTTCATTCTCCCATGGAGGTCAGCCTCTCTCTCTCTCTCTCTCTCTCACACACAGACACACAGAGTAGAATTAAATTGCATGAGTGGATCAGTGGATGTTGAAATGCTTACAGTTTACCCACAACAGCCACAAGTAATGTGGCGTAACTAAAATCATGAAAATTGTGCATTTTGCCACTATGCGCATGTTTAGTAGAGCATTGAAGCTCTAAATAAGCTATTGGTCCTATTTGTTGAATGGAATTAGAGCTTAAAATGAGCTCTTAGTTGTAAAGCAATTTCCTATTGGAGTCCTATAGCATTTCAGAAAGAAGTTCCTGTTTTTTTGTTTGTTTTCACTTATGACCTTGCTCTTTTAGAAAAATAGCACATTCTATATCAATCAATAATCTTGGTCCCAAAAAAGGGATTTTGTCTTCCGTTTTTTTGCACTGACCAAGTCTCTATATTGATTGCCAAGACTGGGGAGTTTACTCATAAGTTAACACGCCCAAAAACAATAGTACAAATTATAGGAAAGATAAATGCCATAATAACTCAACATCCATCTAGCACAACGCATAACAAAATTTAAATAGCACAAAAGAGAGAGTCCTTAAAGGGTAATATAGCACTTCAGAAGTCCTTCAAAGGTCTTGCACACCCAAATCTGGAGGGAGATTGCTTCAATTTGTCAGCTTTCTCGGAATCAAACTCACAGAGGGTGTAAAGATACTTGGAGCAGCAAACCTTGAATTTGACCACATCCTTTCCTCTCTTGATCTTAACTGATCTTGCGTCTTCCTTCTTGCAGTAAGAAGGAAATCTTTGATCTCGTGAATTTGCTTCGGCATCATCTCTTGCTCGTCCAGACACTGCTGCCCTCTGTCTTCCTTACTTTTAAGCCCCAAATAAGGTTCATTTTAGAGAAAGAAAAAGTTCTGTGGTTGATTTTTTCTTTCCATTTACAGTTTCACTTATTTTGATTAGTTTGACAAATCATATTAGGAAACTTATTTTGGGATGGAGGAAGTAGAGAATGCCTTTGACACAAATCAGCTACCGATTAGAGCCTTCAACTTCTAGGCTTCTAGCACCCATTAGAGCCTTCGATTTCTAGTACCCATTAAAGCCTTCAACTTTCAGCTACTACCTACAAACTTTTCATCTATTTTGCAACTTCTAACTTTCATAAATAAGCCTTGACAAAAACACGGCCTCCTTAATGATTGTGATGGTGCATACCATGACTATATAATTATAAATTTATCCTTAAGTATAACTCTACTCATATTTTTGGAAAACCCCCATAAGATAACCTCAACACGTAGCTTTTGACTTGATTAATTAGTTGAAATGAATGTTACTGAACACTTCATTATTATAAAATAAAATTAAGCAGTTTCATCCAAATAAGTTAAATTTTTTACTAAAAAACCCAAGTATAGATCTTGTTAACATGATAATATCATTACAGGCAGAGATACTTGCTAGTTACAAACCAACGGTAGACACACAAATGCTGGTTCCGAATTTGAAGCAAGTGGACGATATGGTCACAAAAGCTTTGGAGCATTTCAAGAGTACTAGGCATGTCATCCTTTACTATGAGGACATCATAAGAAACCGAACTGTAAGAAACTTCAAAGTGTCCGTTTTTCTCCATGGTCGCTGTATCCTTACTAGAAATGTAGTTAATTGACACCTTTACCCCCCTCCCTGCCTACCCACCCACCATTTTGTCTTTACAGAAACTGTTGGACGTTCAAGATTTTCTGAGGGTACCTCATCAAGAGTTAAGAAGCCGACAGGTCAAGATACACAAGGGGGCATTATCATCACAAGTAGAGAATTGGGGTGATGTTGAGAAGACACTTAAGGGAACACCATACGAGACCTTCCTACAATCGGATTATGAGGTCTAATTTTGTACATTTTTCTTGTCTCTTAACTTACTATTTATTTATTATTTGGTTAGCAGAAGCTAACTGGGAAGCCGGGAATGGTGTGGGCTATGTTTTAGTCAAGGTGTGTATTGCCTCCATCCCACCTCCCCACCAAATCCATCGATTTTGCTTACCCTTAATGATTTGGTTAAACATCGAGGTTAATATCACTACGGATGGAGTCTTGATTTTGTTTCTAGGGACTAATTACATTGTAATTTAGTGTTTTCCTTTATGGCTTTAAAGTGTTTTTTTCCTTTTAAGAATTGACCACATTAAGTTCATGACAGTTGGAATGTACAATTGTTCCCATTAGGGATTGGGCTCCTCTCTGGATCTGCCTCCTTTAAGATGAATTACAGTTTTAAGTAAAAGCTTACTCTTTTTAGTTCAGATTTCATATGTTTTCACATATCGATTAATGTGAATTAACCTAATGACCTCAAAACAATTTTTTGGGGACTAAGGCTTGGATGCTGTTGTTGAATAACCTAATGAAACTGTTGAGTCAACAGCCAAGTGAGTTTCTAATATAAACTTCTTGTAACAGATATTGAATTCAAATTACCAATTGATACCAAAAAGCACACATTAAATGATCACATAAATAAATAAACAGGTTAAAATAGGGAGTATATACTACTAGTACATGCAAGTAGACCTGTACAAAACCGGGCCGGCCCGCCCGGCCCGCACAAATGGGCGGGCTTAGGCATATATATTTGCCCACCGGCCCGGCCCGGGCCCGGCCCGAGCCCGGCCCGCAATAACATATGGGCGGGCTTGGGTTAGGGTGTAGGCCCGTTCGGGCCGATAAGCCCGGCCCGCTACATTTAGTGTGTATATATATATACACTAATTTATTTATTTATTTACATGTACACATGTATATTTATATTTACTAATATAATTTACCTTTATACATATTTATAGTTTATTATATGTAAATTTAAGTTTTTAGTTCTTAACAACTAGCCCAACTAATATAGTATCTATTTTTGTACTTAAAGATAATACTTTTTGCTTGAAATTTAAATTTTAGATATAGTTTCTCATTATTATTTTTAAGTAAGTATTATGTTTGTATGTGGTGAAAGGCCTATAAATATTTTAAGCGTATTAACAATTTTTTAAATTCTGTCATATTATTTTTAAAGTATTAAAAAATTTATTTAATTTAGAAAATTTTAAAGTTTTTCCGGGCCGGGAGGCCCGGTGGACTACCCGGCCTGCTCTTACGGGCGGGTATGGACATGGAGTTAGGCCCGTTTTTGCGGGCCGGGCCGGGCCCGCCCACACATGATGGGCAAAAAATTCATAAGAAGCCCGGCCCGAGCCCGGCCCGAGCCCGGCCCGAACCCGTTTTTGTGCAGGTCTACATGCAAGAAAGTCATGGAGTATTGCTACTTCAACAGTTTTCCTACTTAGTTTTCACAAATTTGCAAGTAAAATTTGATCCTATATATGCAAAATGGAAATACATTACTCCTGTCTGGAGGTAATTTTGCTTTGTTGTTGCACTACCTAAATCTGCATTCTCGGCCAGGTCCTCTGCGAAACCTCCACTTATCATTGCAGTAATTATAAACCATATGCCTTCTCTGCATAGTCCTCATCCTTGCACGGCTCCACCTGTCCAGCTCCTTTGTCATCCAAGAATTGTCACTGGGGCAAGACGTGGATCTGCTTAACCGTGACCAAACACAGCCTTGGGAGCTGAAGTTTCTGTAAGAGGCCACGAAGGGGGCGAGAGTCCAGTTCGTCTTCACACGTCCACCCTGTGTGGCCCAGGAATCAGCGTTCCATATACTTGAGTATAGCCTCATCGGTTGATCCTTCGGGAAAGGAACTCCGATTGCCTCCGCATTTCTGAACTCTCTTATCGGTGTTCCATCCACGTAGAACCTGTAATCCAAATTCCATTTGAAAAGTTAATCCTTTTCTAAACCCGTTTTCACTAGTTTTCGACCAAGCGTTTCAAAAGTTAATACTCACACGATAGCTTTAGGATTCCAAAGAATAGTATATGTGTGGAAGTCTGCAGTCGGGTCGAACCACAGGAAGAACTGCACCTCCCTATCACCTCTTCCTTGACTAAACACATTCGTGTGAAGCGTGTAGGGATTGCCAGATGAGTTTCCCAGAAATTCAAAATCTATCTCATCGTGGTGATCACCATCTGATGTTAACTGCATTTAGATTATTACGGTCATCTATTTGCGAATTATTCCCTAACATAGTTTCATTCGACATTTAATGACCTGATAAATGATTAGTTTCGGAATAAATTTTGAATTATGTTTCATAATATGTTGTTTAAAAAAGCTGTAACAATTGTTAAAGTTTGTTCCAATTTCGGAAGCAAAAAGAACGCATAAATTACTCATCTACTTTTGCACTGGTTTTACTAGCTTTTGCCCCAACTCAATCTATTGAAAATGCAGCAAAATTATCATCAAATCAACGGTAAAAGTTTACATTATTGTGATTGGAATTTCTTACACCATGGCCATAATATTGAGAACTATTGAGATGGGATATTGCTCGTGGCTTAAAAATAAAAATTGATTTTTAAACAATTACTCCGTATTAGGCATGATTGCATGAACTTTACGTTATGTAATTGAGATATTTAGTATCCCAATTGAACTAATAACGAAACAATAATTTGTATTTAGTTAGAAATGGAAATTAGAACTCGAAACATTATCATTCGATACAGCTCTATTTAGTACTTTCTTCCACCCTTCGAAATTTTAGATCTTATTTGATAATCTTAGATTTGTTTAAGATAAGTCTATATACTTTTAGTCATTCATATGATATAAAAGTACTAAATAGAGCTGTATCGAATGATAAATAGAGCTGTATCACATAACCTAATTGGTAATGTGATACATGTTCTACTAGGGCATGAGAAAAAATAATGGGGTCAAATACTTTCTTAGAGATTTTGTTGCTAAAACTACTATTAAGGTATTTTAAGTTGAACTTACTTCAGCCCAAATCGGATCAAAATAGATCAGTTTAGACCGGATGTAAAACATGTATCTTCTATGTGAATATCACATTACCAACATGCAAAGTGACAACTCTTTCAATTCTCTTGGTGTTTGATATTTTATTTGATTAATACTTGGTATATAAGTCATCGATACTTTGTATTTATTAGTAGCCAATTACTAATTTGAGCATAAAGATGGAGTGCAAATGTACAATTAGTAAAGATGAGAGTAATTTAGTGATATATATCGTACATAATAAGTGGTGACGGTGCCGGCGGAGTCTCCGGGGACGAGCTTAATTTGCATATCAATCTTGCAAAAGATGAATTCCTTTTTAGACTCAAAGCCCGACCCAGAAGATCTGTCGAGTTCCAGTGTAAGTAGTTCTCCATTTTCATATATCTTGCAACGCTCATCTCCCCACGATAATACGAACTCTTTTTGGAATGTTCCATTTCCGAACCTGCCTCAGTCAAATTAAAGTGTTACAATTCAAGACTTATGAATACCATGCACATAATTTTCAGCATATACAACTGATTTAGTCCATGTATTCTTATCAAAAAATTCTTAATCTCGCAATTACAAGAAACCTCACATATTTCTTTCTATAACTAAGGTGTGCAGGGACAGAGGTGTGTGTATGGGTAGGGGGGCCATGGCCCCTCCCGACCCTTTTATTTTTTTAGTAGTATTAGTATTACATACTATGTATGAAATAAGGCAAAAAAGATTGGGTCAAAATTACTAGATAGAAGCTTGCATTTGAGATGCTTTCAGATAAAGTTTTTTTTATGAAATTTTGTGAACATATATTTCTTGAAGTGTATATTATATCCACCGAATTTCAGCTTATATTTCAATCAGGAAGTCCATTAAATAAATTATGAAAAAATACTGCGTTTTTTATTTATTTTTTGACGCAGTGTTCTCAATAATTTAGTTAATCAACTCGTCGATTGAGTTTTAAACCGAAATTTAATGTGAATAATCTACATATCATGAAGAACATTGTCACCAAATTCCATCAAAAAAATCCACCCGGAAGCACCACAAACGTATGCATTCGGACATTGGATCCCGTCATTTAATTTTGACAGGATCATTCCTCATGAAATAATTATTGGAGTATGATTAAAAATATGACAAAAAATGTTTTACTTCTCAAATAGATCTTATTTAGTTCTATTAAAAATAATTTGATTAGAGTTTGCCAAAATATGAGTGAATAAGACCTATTTTGAGAATAAAACAATGATTATCCTGTTTATCAAATTTATTTTTATTTTAGTCATATTTAGAGATTTTTTTTTGTTCTTTGTGTTCCTTTTTGGCCCCCGTTATGACTAAATCCTGGCTCCGCCCCTGAAGGTGTGGTGTGAAATTATCCCGTGTATTACTTAAATTATCAATGGAATTGAGGGTGTCAATGTCGTTGTACTAATTTTTCGACTTTTCAATGTTTTGGTACGACATGGTACGATACAGGATCGTCGTAATTATTTATGGAAAATGCTAGGGGTACAAAAGTTGTACACAACTTGTACACACAATGTCGGTCACAGACATTTGGTACGGAGTTGCCTGTGACCACATACAAGAGTTGTCTGTGTACACAGACAAATTTTGTCTGTTTCCACAGACATTTACTTTTTTGTAAAAAGTACTTGTCAGTGTCAGGCGGCTCTCAGTGTACTTTTTACAAAAAAAGTAAATGTCTGTGGAAACAGACAAAATTTGTCTGTATACACAGACAACTCCATACCAAATGTCTGTGACCGACATTGTGTGTACAAGTTGTGTACAACTTGTGTACCCCTAGCATTTTCCATTATTTATTTCAATACTACATATTTATGATGTTGTACAAAAGGAAATTCGAGTGATATTGATCTACAACAATTCTTTCAACAAAAGGGGCACGGAAATGCTTAAAAGTAATACTAACGTATTACGTGCGTTATTTGAAAATTATGGATCGGTCATGTTTTAATGTTGAGACTTGAGAGGCGTTCCATGCTTAAGATTTGAAGCATGAAGAAGACCACAAAGGCTCAAAACGTCATACATAAATCAATCCTATGTTATTAGCTACTACCTCCCTCCCACTATGTTTGGGACAAAGGAGTATGACACAACTTTTAAGAAAAAAGTGGAATTGTGTGGTTGGTATTGAGTTGATAAAGTGTGAATAAAGTAAGAATGAATTGTAACCACACAAATATTACCAAATATGGTATGAGACAAACTTAATGGGACGAACGAAAAAGGTAAAACGGGACAAAGTCAGGGGGACGAAGGGAGTAATTATCATATGTATCATAGAGTTAGGGATACCAATTTAATTAAACTGAACCTATGGATACCCGCATTTGAACCAAACAGGTCAAAATGAAGAAAACATGTGTTGACTAGTTAACGGGTACGGAGCGAGCCAGCGAGGAATACCCGATTTATATATTTTAATAGATTATACTTCATATATTAGGTATATACGATATATTTTGTAAAATATACGAAATATCACCTGTACAAGAAAGATTGGTTTGAGTAGTTACTCTAATTTTTCTATATAAAAGATTAATTTAGTTTCCCTTTCACTTTAGTTTTTATTACTTTGTGTAGTTGCCATAATTTTCTATGTAAATGCTTTAAGAGTATAAAAGTTTCCAAGTGTTGTTTTGTTTTTCTTTGTGTAGATGTGTAATAGTGCTATTGTTATACTCCGTAATTACTTTTTAATTGTATTTTAACTTCATTGTTGTGATAAGATTTGATTTGATTTGTGGTGTTTATTAAAAAATATTGATCAATGGATAATTACGTTGGTGATATAATTTTTTTAAAAAAACATTATCTTTAAATAATGTGGTTACGTACTCGCAAGGAAAACTGTTCCCCATTCTAACCGGGTACGGTTCGGGTAAAAAGTTATCTAACGGGGAACATAGCGGATACAGGGATTATAAATCAAATAACGGGTGGCCGGGTGGGTACCGGTAATATAATGGTATACGCGGCCGGCCTGCCCCGAACCTCCCCGTTGTCATTCCTATATAGAGTATGAATTGTATGGGGTTAATAAGCCTTCAATACATCATGCATTAAGGCCTTGTTTGGCAATCGGCTGTTAGCTTTAGATGTTAGATGGTTGTGTTAGCTGTTTGATAACAGCTGGTTATGTTAGCTGTTTTGATTGGCTGATTATGTTAGCTTGTTGTGAGTAAGTGTTTGGTAAAATTAGCTATTATAAAACAACTGTTTGAGCGTAAAAAGACGTATAAGGACGCGAATATATATACCAAATATATAATACTTGAGTAATGCCACAATGTTAAAACTATAATTATTATTTAATGAAAATAGTATTTAATTTGAAAATGTGAAAAAAATAAATTCATTAAAATAAAAGTAAAATAAATCTAAATGAACATATCCTTTCCCAAGAATGCTAAACTAAATAATGCTCCACTAAGCATTAAAAATTTGTTGAGTATTATTAAAGTAGTCAAATAAACTGAAAAAATCCAACTAATAATGGAAAAACCAGAAAAAGAAAATTCAAGAATGAAGACAAGTACATGTGTCTTTGTAGTTGTTGGCGAACAAGGATGACAAATGGCTGGAAGAATATAACGAAGAAGGTAAAATTGGGGGTACAAATGTAAAAATTCAAACAGCTAAGATCAAAACGCTGCATAGCATGGCTTTTCATTTTTCAGCTTGTTCACATGGATAAGCCGAATGGACAAGGCAATTACCAAACAACATTTTTGGCTTCTTCATCTGGTCAACCAGCTGTTATTAGTCAAACAAGCCAAAAGTTGGCTGATAAGCCATTTTCCAAACAACCCCTAAGTGAATAACCAAGTTGGCTAACTATTTAAGTTATTTATCAAACAGTTAATTAAGATTAAGATACATATCTATTTATAAAATTCATAGCTACCAGTCTACCACGATGAGTATATACCAAGAGTATATGGTATTAAATTTTGGTAGATTCTATGGTACCCATAAGGTACCATATCTTTGTCCACATGGACCAATGAAAATGTAGCAGTTGAATTATTTAAAACTAAATTAAAAATAATAAATTGATGTGATCCAATCAAATGAATGGTAGATACGGTACCCCATTTTTTTTAGAAGAGTACCGTTGTTGTCACCTTAAATTTTAATATTATCTGTCTTACTGAATCGCGCCCTTATATAAGGTATTGGAACCAGCGAGGATATAATAGTTTGTACTACGTATTAAAATTTAACACTAGTCACTATTAATATAAAGGGAAAAGTGCAGATAGTGTTATGTGTTTCATTTTTTATCAAAATGGTAAATGTGTTTGAATTCCGTTATCACAAGAGGGTCACGCCGTAAAAAACTTCTGAAAAAGACCGTTAAAAGTAACACCGATTTTCAAAAGTGTCTGAAAAATTAAGAGAGAATTCTCTAAATAGGAGTAAAAACGTTTTGAAATTCCAAAATTGGAGTGTCATGTTTTTTATTCCCTAAATAGGAGTAAATTTCTGCCAAGTTTGGGCATTACAAGGCTTTAAACATGACATTTTTTTCCAAACTTGGCAGATTACTTCTATTTAGGGAATATAAAACATGATACTCCTATTTTAGAATTTCAAAACGTTTTTATTCCTATTTAGGTCAATTTCTAAAAAATTAAAAGAAAAATACCGGAAGGTGCGCCTCAATAAGACGATCGCTAGGTCATCTTTCTTTTTTGTTTTCAGCCACCTTTGTCACCGGAAAGTCCACCGGAAAAGTGATATTAACAAAATCATTTTTTAAAAATAATTCAAACATATCTGAAAAATTCAAAGGCGAAGGTGGTTTGGAGGTCATCTTGACAAGGCGCACCTTTCGGTATTTTTCTCTTAATTTTCCGAGCACTTTTGAAAATCGGAGTTACTTTTAAAGGTGTTTTTCAGACGTTTTTAAACGACGTGACCCTCTTGTGATAACGGAATTCAAACACGTGAACCATTTTAGTGAAAAATGAAACACATGACCCTATCTGAAAACAGACCCAACCACAAATACATTCTGTATTTTTCCCTAATACTTCCTCCGATTCAAAAACAAGTTCCACATTTGACTTCACACATATTAAGAAAAGAAATTTGACTTTACTGTGGATTTCACTGTTTGGCACTGTTTGGATACTGTTTGGCACTGTTTGACACTGTTTGGAACTGTTTTGATGGAAATAATTTGCCAAATAAGAAAAGATTTGAAAGTAGAACTTATTTTTGGAACTACCCGAAAAGGAAAGGTGAAACTTGTTTTTGAATCCCTCGCGAGTATAAAATTAGCACTTAAAGAAAATAAGAAATACAAAAGCGTAAGAGGACTAAAAGTACTTTACTTGAATGGCGAATCGGGTGATTTGGGTTCATGAACTACTATTTGATTTATCCGTTCCGTACTATGTCGAATTCTCGATATTTTCTGGACAATCAGAATATCCACCTATCCAAAATTCAAACATACAAAATCATCATCATCATTTACTAAGTTCCTACTTTTAATTCACACGCATTAGGCAAAATCATTCTTATTGGCATTCCAAAAGCGCCTTGGATAAAAGCATACAACAACCACAACATTGGGATAACAACGTGGTTATTTTATATGACACCTTGGATAAAAGCATACAACAACCACAACATTGGGATAACGTGGTTATTTTATATGACAAAATAGGTAGAATCATTCTTATTGGGATCCCAAAGTCCCAAAATTTTTTGAAATCGATTAACATGAATTAATATATGTTATCAAAACCCAAAAAACTAATAATCAATAATGTAAATTTTATTGGGGTCACAATTGTTTTACTACTCAAATATTTCACAAATAGACGTTGAAACATAATACTATCGTATTTGGGCATTTAAAAAAGTGAAGTGGCAACCTACAAATGTGCTTAATTAGACTGATTTCAGTTGCAGACTAAATGAAATCAAACCAAATATAAACATAATAGCTCACTATTCACATCAAAACAGGCAATAAAAGTTGAGATTTCTCAAGATTAAGGTTATAAAATGCACATGGAACAAATAAGATCATTTTATACCAGATTGATTAGACTAAAGAGACCATACCACACTAGGGATGTGATCTAAATGTTAATGATATCTAGATTCATCTATGTCATGATATGATGATATAGTAACTCCACGATTGGATTTAAAATGCATTTATATGCATGCACTTTTGATCCATGTATGCAACTATTTATAGTACCTTATTTCATTAAATGTACCGCTAAATTCATGCTGCAAAGTAGCACGCTTTCTTCAATCAATTACAAATATGGCAAGAAACACATAAAGTGGCATAGAATTGGTCAATACTATTCTACGCATAGAAAACATATTCCATTCTTTTCCCCGATTTCGCTAAAGATGCACATACATATATATGTACCTTAAAGACGAAAAAAGCTGCAAAGAACAGGAATGCCCAGCATGCAAGGTTAGAAGAAGACCGTGAATGAGACGCTGCAGATGATGATGATGAATGCCTATAGGCCATTGCAATATTCTTCCATTATCTTACCTTTTCGTTTTAATTTTTCATCATTATAATCATTTTTATTTTTATTATTGTTTTTATGCCTTTTCTTTTCTGAAAAGGTTGGTATTCAATCTCCCAATTACAGCCATTAATTCCTTCGGTTCTCCTAAAACATTAACTGATTTACTATCCGAGAGATTAACCAAATATACGTATAAAAAAGTCAAAATACGTATAAATTACGGAGTACTTAAATAAGGACCCACAACTTCATATTCCTTAAAAAAAGAGGATGATGCCCCCGTCTGTAATGGTCCTGAGCATCTGATGGACAGTTAAATGAGAGGACGTAAATTGAAATTTAATAAAAAATTGGTAGACAGTGAGTGAGATTCTGGCATGTCCTTACAGAGACCCTATACATTTTTACACAGTAAAGACCCGTATGTGCAGTTTGCAAGTCCACTATGGCCCAGACTTCATCGCAATTGTGAGAATTAGAGCCTGAAACTTATCCCTTATGACACTCTCTATCTGCCAGTTGAGCTACACTCACCGACTTCATATTCTTTTTTCGGAAGGCGGTTTAAGTGATAAATTATTGAACCCTCATCACAGTTGTCAGTGAGCATAGTACCAAGATACTTGTGGAGATTATATGTATTTTCATATATTCCGTAGTAATCTTTCATCGCAATTGTCAGAATTCAAACTCAAAATTAACCATGTGTGACACTCCTTATCTACCACTTGAATTAGGTCCGGTAGCTTCACATTCTATTTTGGGAAGGCGGTGTAAGTGATACTAGTAAATTATTGGTTTTATCACTTATCCGATTAGACTGAATCACTGAACCAATTGGACTGGCCACTTGTAACTGTAAAGAAGTTATTTTACCATAAATGGGAGGCCAAACACGGCACAGAACGACATCCAAAGTTGACCGATGGACGATGCCAATAATGGGGTGACCAGCCTGGCCTGTTTATACCCGGAAACATGTTGGCGTGTGATACCTGCTCACTACCCCACCCCCACCCACCCATCCCCCAACCCCTCCTCTCCACCGTCCATACGGATCTACTTTAAAGATCTACGGCGGCTGAGATCAAAACACATCCAATAATTGCAGCATTGTTTATCTTTGCGGAAAAAGAAAATTATCTGTATATATATCCCGGAGGAAGGAGTGATGAACTAGAGTAGGACCCACAACTCCCGCCGCGTTCAGCCGGGGCCCACTAGCCTGAATCGACGGGCAAGATTAAACGGCTCGCGTTGAATCGACGGTCCAGGAACGGTATCGTTACAGCGATCCATACCCTAGATCCGGCTCTGCCTTCTTTAGCAGACTCTGTTTCAATTTGCTCTTTCTCTTTTTTTTGTTTGCCGCCAGACCAGCTGCTCTCTCTCCCTCCGGCCGGCGGTGGAGATACTCTTGACGACGGAGAAGGGGGGAAGAGTGGGATTTTGAAAAGATGAGTAACGGCGGAGAAATGAGTCAGCAGCAGCAGATTCAGCACCAGCAATGGATGGCGATGCAGCAGCAGTATCAGCAGCAGTGGATGGCGATGCAATACCCGCCGCCGGCCGCCATGCTTATGTACGGCCACCCGCAGGGCTACGTGCCTTACTACCCCCAGGGCCACGCGCAGCTGCCGCCGCCGCCGCAGCACCTGCAGAAGCAATCTCCGCCGCTGGTGCAGGGCGCCGGCGCCGGTGAAGAGAACCGGACGATCTGGATTGGGGATCTTCAGCAATGGATGGACGAAGGGTATCTCCATTCCTGCTTCGCTCCCGCCGGAGAGGTATGCTAGCTCGGTTTTAGTTGGATCTGGATATACTGTTTCCAGTAAAGTTGGAACTTTTATTTCTATGATATACAGTTACATGACGTATAATAATGTACTTCTTATGTAAGATCTTACTAATGCACTGTTTTACAGAAAGAAATTCAGATCTTAATTTGAAGTGAAAACTAGAGTTAATGGTTCATGCTTGTTGTCCTGTTCTAGTACAAGAATGGTTTAGTTGAAAAAATAAGAATAAATCTACGTTATTACTTAAAAAAAAACTAAGAACTTATGAATTAGATCACTAGTGAATTTCTGCGTGTATATAGGATTCCACTTCAATGCAGTGTTACCACTACTAGTGCATGGTGCTTACAACTTAATTACACAAGTATGAATCTCATCCTTCCATTTTTTTAAATCAGTGAGCAAGAGTAGTTATTATTTCTCTCAAGGTTGAGTTTTCATTTCAACTAATACTTCGTATATGTTTGTTGGAACTGATTATTAAAATTTAATCTGCTACTTCATGGAGCACTTACAAGCAGTAGTGGATTTAACATTTAAGTTCTGAGTGTTTAAAAATTACTTTACACTAAACATAATTGTATAAGAAGTATGAAATTTTATATAAATAAACACAAATAAATTACTACACTAATTTAAGGCATTTTTATTTTTATTTTTCTCAAATTCTTGGGTGTTAATGTGAACACCCTTGCATAGAAGAACTTAGAAGAGATCTGCAATGGGTAGAAGCTGAATGAATCAGAAGAAGAATCAATCTTAAGTAGTTAAGCATTCCCTATGTATATAAACGCTTATATTACACATAAGGTTATTTTTTATACCATTACAGTCGCTGCACGCCTGTACCTATAATATATGGGCACTTTGCATTAAGCACGTCACATATTTGTCCTTATTGTTTACTTTAGTATGGAGTAATATATTTGTCATCGTTTCTTATTTTTATTCTTTTTACAATCCTAGTTGTGTCACTGAATCTGCGAATCCCTAACCTACCTAATTCCTTATTACAAAAACGCACTTTTTCCCATAGTCAACACTGAAACTACCCCCACCTCTCCTAGATGTCTTGCTTGCTGGTTGTCATTAGACAATAACTGTAATTTGAAGCTGCACAATTATGGGCAGTGGGGAAAATTAATGAAATAAGATGTAATTTCAAAACCTTCAACACATCGGTTGTGAATTTATGTTCAAAGGTTCCTTTTACATTTTTTTAGAATATATGTTGTAAACATTCAAAAGTTACAAACTTTATGTAACTTGTGCCCAGAAATATTCATTATTAAAATACACAAGTACTCAACTGTTTTCATTTATTAGTGACTTGTAAAAAACTGGTTCTGATTGTTCAGAAGCTGCAAATTTTGATAACTAATAGTATCATGTATTCTTATTCCAAAAAGGAAATTCATCAACTGAAAGAATTTGTTTGGTTATGAAACGAGAGAAAATGCAACAACGCACATAGACCAAACTGTGCCAAAAGACTGAATCCAATGAATTATCAAATGTAAACCCTGTGTAAAGCTTTAGTATGTCTCCGATGTCAGATACTCAGATTCTTAACAAAATTTATGGGTCTTTGGTTTCCTACTGTGCAGGTTCTTTCTGTTAAGATTATTCGCAATAAGCTGACTGGTCAGTCAGAGAGATATGGATTTGTTGAGTTTAGTTTACATGCTGCTGCAGAGAAAGTCTTGCAGAGCTATAGCGGTGCAATGATGCCAAATGCAGAACAGCCCTTTCGGTTAAATTGGGCTTCATTTAGCAGCGGTGATAAGAGAACACCCCCCGAATCGAATTCTGATTTATCCATTTTTGTTGGAGATTTGGCTGCTGATGTCACTGACACTGTGTTGCATGAAACCTTTGCCAATAGATATTCATCCATCAAAGGTGCAAAAGTAGTTGTTGATTCAAATACAGGGCGCTCAAAAGGCTATGGCTTTGTCAGGTTTGGTGATGAAAATGAAAGGTCGCGGGCCATGACTGAAATGAATGGTGAGTACTGCTCAAGCAGACCCATGCGTTTGGGAGTTGCAACTCCTAAGAAACCGTCTATGCAACAGCAGCAATCTGCACAAGGTTAGTACACACTCTTGTGCTCTATATTTTTGTTGCTCCTTTCTGAAGCATGTTGTATAGTTTTTAACTGAGTTACACCTAACACACGCGGAAATGATTCTGAAGAGGTGAGGTTTACTATACACTTACATATTAGATCAAGTCTATCGGTTGGTCGTTTATGATGGAATGTCAAGTCTTATTGATGGGGTATCACGCTGAACTTAAACAATCAGTCAATCCCACTAAAGACAAGTCAATTTCAAGAGTGATTTGTTTCAATAATTCAAAACCTCGGATCATTATAAAATAAACAACCAACATGCATCCAAAGGCCTTTGGCTACTCATACAGCCTATACTTTGAGCTTTAGGATACTCAACAGTTCGCTTGGCCAAACCCCAAAATCCCATTCCTCTCGGAATCTTGTGCATAATACTTGTTTTTATATGTTGTTTTTAGTAACTTGAATCTAATTTTTATGTTGAAAATTCAGTTTCATGACTAAAGTGTTTGTGTAGGAGGTGGATTTGCTTCTAATGGTACTCTTACTTCAGGCTCCCAATTTGATAATGATTCTTCTAACACAACGGTGAGAGCCTGGACGGGCATGGTGAGTTGTTTAGAAGTTAGTTTATCTTGTACTAATGTTTTTTCTGTCCTGTCTAGATATTTGTGGGTGGACTTGATTCAGACGTGAGTGATGAAGAACTAAGGCAGTCCTTTATTCAGTTTGGGGATGTGGTCTCTGTTAAAATTCCAACCGGGAAAGGGTGTGGTTTTGTACAATTTGCAATTAGGTAGTCCCATAACACATATGCCAATGTCTAATGCAAGTTACCATTTTTTATGAAGGCGAATGTTTCATGTTTAAAACCCGTGCATAACTCTGCTTGTTTTGTAAATAACTATATATAGGAGTGCAGCAGAGGATGCATTGGAAAAATTGAATGGATCGGTCATTGGGAAGCAGACAGTTCGCCTTTCATGGGGGCGCACTCCTTCAAACAAGCAGGTATTTTACATTAAAAAAATGAATCATTTGTATTATAAAAAATTGTATTTTGTATATTTTTCATTGCAATTAAAGATATAAATTAACCTACATGCACATTCAATAATATTGTAGAGCGGTTTTGGTAAAAAAAAGAATGAATTTTAAAAAAAAAAACTCTACCAAATTGGAGTGATTTACAGCTTGTGAGGCATTTGAAGGATTTTTATACCTCTTGAACTTGCTTAGGGTCAGATGGATGAAGAATATGAGCAGTAGGTTTTGGAGGCTAAGTTCGTATCTTTATATGTATAAAGGATGGTTCGAATAAAAAGGAGTTTTAACATGTAAAATAAGAATTAATCTTAGTCATCCAAACTATCAATATGATGCACAATAACCCTTATATAATGCACTTTTCGAATAAACATTATATGATGCACTTTTCCAACATCTAGACGCGGTGGCATTTTTTGTAAATATTGGAAAAGTACATCAAGAGTTTATAGAAACTCAAGAAATATGGTAATAAGTGTTGACCATATAACATTTGATTAAACCTTTTACTTGTTTTTTTAGAAATATTTTCTTTATCTACATATAATCATGCTTTCCAAAGCAATATCTCCAAAACTATTCAGAAAACCTCCATCCGAACTTTAACCTAAATAACTCTACCTCAAACTTGAGTCTACAAAGTAAATTATTAGTTTTTACGAAGTTAATCTAATTTTGGAGCTGCGGATTAACTAAAAACATATGCATCATTAGATTAGAACTGTAAAAAAGTACACTGATGGCTTCTTTTCCTCTATGTTTTAGCACGGGAGAAGTGAGAATAATGGTCAATGGAATGGGGCGTATCAGGGAAGGCAAAATAATGGTGGATATGGATATTACATGTCACATAATAGGGATCAAAGCATGTATACTTCACCTGGATACGGGAACCACCACCAGCAACCTGTGAGCTAACTCTTATTGTCTGGTTGTAACTGTTTGAGTTATACCTCAGAAACTGAACTGTCTTGTTTTTTTCCTGGTTGGTTGAACTTAAGACTGATAATAAAATCAGTTGTGTTTGAGAATTTTGTAGCTGGATTGAATTCATCCATTAGCTAGTATGACATTTTAAACCTGAAGCTTACCACAATGATTGGTGCTTTAACCTACATTATCTGATGGTGAAGTACACCTCGGGTCTAGTCTAAATGACGGTCTCTGGTCAATGTTGCATGTAAACGTGAAAAATATAGGGAAACGTGAAATGGGAAAGAACATATTTCAATTGTGTCTTGGTCAAGTTTCTAGCAATTTCTAGGAGATTAGTGACCCTATTGATTGGTTGAGGGGTCCATTTGTCATGGTGTTCGGATTGAACCGTGCTGCATGCCTGCATAGACTGATCGCCGTGCATCAAGAGCAGATATAAGTCTATTCGCTTGTTGCTCACTTTACTATTATGATCTGCCATGAACTCTATTAGTTTACCCAATTGTGTCGGCACCAGACCTAAGGGATCAGAGTATCAGACCGTGCCTAGCCGCGGATGAAACAACCAATCACCATTCATTCGTTTTTGTTATTCACATGTATGTATAGTTGTTATTTTGAAGGTCGTGTATGCAAGAATAAAAGTAGTGTATATAGATGAAAATGAGATCAACAATGTTCACGATTTTATAACAAGATTTTCAGGATAACTTCGGAGAAAGAATTTTAGTTCTCTCCATTTAAATGTTGTTAATGTTGCATTTTGTGGTCATTTAAGCAACTAACATCATACAAATATGTTTTTTTCCTACACAATGGACAAATGAGAATAGCACAAAAAGTTATGTATGATGGGATGTGGATGTTTCACAGGATTTTGGCCTTTTGGTGGTGGAATGGGGATGGGATGTGTAAAAACCCACAATCACAATACCCATGAATGTATTGTAGGAAATACGAGTGGGAGTTTGGGATGGAGTCAATGAGGTTTATACTACGGTACTACCCATAGACCATAGTCTACAACCATGGGGCTAGGGCCTAGGGGTGGGTCCGGTCCCGGTTGCCAAAACGTGAGACCGGAACCGACCCGGAGTAGTACGGTACCCGATTCCGTTCCGGTCTACCCGGCTGGTCTCAGGCCAGTTCAGACCCGGTTTCAATTTTTTTTAATTGAATTTACAAATTCCAAAAAGAAATGTACATTTATTAGAAACACTACATTGACTTAGAGTATTATTAACACATTTACAAATTACAATTGAAAATAGTTTAAACTTGAAAATTTAAATACATGAGGTAATTGTCAGATTCGCTTCCCTCGTTGGTTGTCATTTTCTCCGTGAAATGGCAGTCTGGTGCTATATTCACTTTTTGTGTTCTACGGAAGACCTTCAACCAATGATGGAAGCAAAATGAGCGTCTCAAGAGATGAAGCGCTCAACCTTGTTCCATAGTCAAAACGTTACCAGCTTCGCTAAGCCCCCCCCTCCCCCCACGACTAGTTCTCCACCCAGTCTCACCCCACCCTAGAATTTTTAAAAAATGTCTTATGGGATCGAAACCAGGACCGGGACCGCCCGATCGGTCCCCAAAACCCCTACCTTAGACCGAGACCGCCCCCACCTAGTTGGGTACCTGGTCCAAGTCTGGGACAGAAAAACCAGACCGGTTCAGCGCCGCACAGTGGCAAGTTTGGTTCCGATCCGGTCCTCAATCGCTGATCGAGTCCATCCCTACATGGGGATGGTTGCAATTGGGGTGGAAATATGATTTAAATTTGATTAGAATTAAGATATTGGACAGAATGTGATCTTATACTCGATGACTTTTTTTAATACTTGTAATGCCTAGTTATATTCATTACACTATAGTGATTATGTTGTTATAATTACAGGAACTTCAATCACTTTTTTTTTATCTTTAAGTTAATTTCATTAATATTTTAGGAAAAACTTTGATTGGTTGAGGTATACAATTTAATGAAAATTTGGTATGATATTATAAAAAAAGAGATATGATGTTTTACTATAAAGGCCTTTATTAAAAGTCAGTCACATTAACACCCTTTTAAGAAAATGATAAACGAGAAAAACTTATTTCATGCCCATTCACGAAATATACAAACAAAAGTGGTCAAGCTAGACAAATAAATAATGACATTGAAGGCCCACATTTTGATTTAGAAACTCTATCATCATATAGTCGAAATATGTAAACATCTAATTGTAATTTGCAACAACGAAAGAGGTGAAACAAACTCAATATTTCCCGTCACATTGAATGAAATTATTCTGAAGAAAATGAGAAACATAAATCTCTCTAAACCCATGGCAAGTTACAAATCGATATGGAGATATTGCTTAGCAACATCTTATGGTACAAAGCGCAATACATAAAGCAAGAATTCATCCCCCTCTAGGTGTTTTAACAAGTAGAGGCTAATGCTTATAAAGGCCAAGCAAAGATTTTTCCCTGTCCTCAACTCTCTTCCTAGCAGCTTCCCTTGCTTTGAGTGCAGCTGATTCCGCTTCCGACATAGCTTTTGTTGGCTTCTTCTGAGTTGTTTCCCTTTTTCTTTTGTTGTCAACCGATATTGAAGAGGGAGCAGCACCTTTTACAGATCTGGTTGGATTAAGCGGAGTCGAAACAACACGCCCCGGAGGGGGGCCACTTTGAAGTGTTTCTGAGACAGCATGGTTCTGTTTTAAAACAGGTTTCATTGGAGCAGATTCTGATGTAGTAACAGCTTGGGTTGCTGCTAATGCCTCTTCCTGTGTGGCCCACCGGCCTAAAGCATCTGTGTAGTAGAAGCCAGATTTCGGGTCATAGTAACAACCATTGGTCTTGTTGTAATAGTAGCCTGATGAGCTGTCATGCTCCCCCCAATCTAGAGTTATGAAAAACAATCTCACCTTAAGCTGCAGTCTAATTGACAAGGAAGTGGATGTAAAGAATGTTTTACTAATTTGGAGTTTAATCAATCAGAACCCAATAAGATATTTTTACTTGTCAGTTTACAATCTGAAAGAGAAAAAAAACTACGGACTATCAATTTAGGACCTGAAAAATTGAAATCCAATACTTTTTTTTTAATTTACTAATGCACACTTCGTTAAATATAATGTATAATTTGTCCAGAAAGTTTCATTCAAAGTTAACATTAAAACTCGAAAATAAAAAGATTTGAAATTCACGAGTTTTTAGACTTGTACTGATATAGCTAATGAACTGGTAGTCTAGAACATTAGGTGATATCAATCCAGCACTTGAAAAATACAAATATAGTGTATAAACTGTAAAGAACATTAATTGAAATTTTTACCTAAAAATACTTGAAAAATACTTGGATGTTGTTGTATAAAAATACTTGAAAAAAAAAAGATATGAAATCCATGTTTTTTAGTCTTACATTGATATAGGCATATAGTTAACATATCTTTCAGATCTTGAACCAATAACATCCCTTTTTAATTACATGATACATGCATAGATCAAGCTTTCCTCACCTTCAGAAACAGTAGGATCTTTAGCAGCTGCTCGGGCTTGAGCTACATCCTTTTGATAGCTGCGTTGGGCTTTCTGGCAACAAATTTGATAGTGACAAAACATATAAGTGTAAGCCTTTGATAGGTGCACCGGAATGCAGATTGCAGTTAATTAATCTCCTAAAGTTGATGATTTACAGCAGCCCATGTTTAATTTGTATACTTCATATAAGTTTATAGATAAGAAGTAACGAATCCAAGAGCTTATTTTGTTTCTGCCAAATTCAAGTTTGATAAGAAACGAATCCAAGAGCTTATTTTGTTTCTGCCAAATTCAAGTTTGATAATATAAATCTGCCATCACCAAGACCATTTTCAAAAGCATACAATCGTTCTTGCTATATAGTAAAACAATCCACACATGAACTGAAAAATCAATAATATCAGTTTGCTAAAATCTGAAATAACTGAATGTGCAGTATTTTGTGATAGACATCTGAAAGGAAAAGCATTTGGTAAAGTCTGTTTCAGTCTAAAAAATAAGTAAAAGTTTCAGTTTTCATTTAAAATTAGCCGTTTGACCTTGTTAACACCGCTAATTTCAATGTTAGGAAGAGCCCTATAACATGAGCTTAGCAACCCCAAAAAGTGATGTTGGAAGCGAACTGAGCTTATTGTTTAAGCTTTTTGGATTGAAAGCGTATTTGAAACTCTCATTTTATACTAGTACCTTCTAAAAGGAAACAACACTAATTGCTTTCATGAAACATTTCTGTACAAATTGCTTTAGAGAAACATTTATGTACAAATAGCTAGAGAAAAAAATGGTCAAACAGCTAACTGAAAGTCTGAAACAACGAACCTAAACAGGTAATGCAATTACGTACTGAGCTTATAGCCAAATAAAAGCCGAAAGATACTTCTTGTGCTTATTCCAATGATTCTGTTGATAAGAAGAATAAGCGGATCAGGCTACCAAACAGGCTCTAACTAAGATATGAAAGTTATACCATGTAATGGGCTAATGGCAGTGGCTGTGGTGGATTGAGGGAGGGGCTGGAGGGGGCATCCCTACCCTCAAAAGTCAAAACTTTCCGTGGTGGATACACACACCCAAACAAATTTATAAACTATAAACATATATGTTAAATATGAAGCTTTGGTACCCTCAGTATAAACTTTTCAAAGTCCGGCCAGCTAATATGGCGTTTCTGGTTAAGCTGCTGTGTAATGTGCAATTAAGTGCTAATATGTATGACTTTACATCCTATCAATAACTTAAATGAAAACTTACTGCTTCAATTTGTTCAAGAGCACGAGTTGCTTCCTTCTGTTCTTTCTCTTTTGCAGTTTTCTCTTTTCTCATCGTATTGAGCCTTTGTGCAACATTGTCTTTGTGACGTTGACCAAGCTCATGATTCCTGATGCTTGAAGGATTGTTTGAGAGAAAGATTTTGCAGAAATCACACCATTTGTTGCCCTGACTAACCCAGTACTGCAAAATGCAAATCCAGACCAACAAACAATCATATCATACATACAGTAGACGATTAACTATACTCCTTAATAATGCATAAGTTCATAAAATTAGATCGCGCAAGTAGAAATCGAGGTTCTTCATTGCTTATCACCGGGGAGTTTGACAGAAGAACCAGGTTTAGGAACATACCTCAGTCATAGCTGCTGCGAATCGGATTATTAGAATTCCTTGCGGAGATTGAGCTCTTGTGGTTCCGCGAATTTGAATTTGACGGCTTTTATAATCCTCACCTTCCCAAACCCCAATCCTGATCTTGGGATGCTTTTTTGGGAGGTTTTGCCCGCCCCGTTCCAGTTATGGGTTGTCTGCAGAAAAAGAAAAAAACATATTTACGCTAATAATCCCATATTCTTACAATAATACAACCGTATTCTTACAATAGTCTCACATTTTCATTATTCATGAATAATCCAACCTTTGCACCACATCTTCATTCACTGTCCCTGACCAGTTGATGACCTGCTATTCCAAATTATTTTCTTATCTTTGCAAACCATTATATCATAAATCTCACCTTTCGCAAAGATAATATTTTGTAAAGATAGAAAATAACTTGGAATAACAGGTCATTAACGGGTCAGAGACCAGCTAATAAAGATGGGGTGCAAAGGTTGGATTATTCTTGAATAACGAAAAGGTGAGACTATTGTAAGAAGGCTGCTAAAAAGTTGGATTATTAGTTTCCATTTACCCTTTACACAAATCACTTCCCAAAAAAATTCCAAATTTATTTATGCCATGCCAACAACTAGTATATCAAGATATACTCCATCTTCCATTTTGTAAGATAATTTTCCTATTCACTTGATCGATACAAATCACTATTAATCTCTTACTTATATATCAAATTTTTATCGAATTTGATTCTGATTTTTGCGACTTTGTAAACCTTTTAAAGTAATTTCTGAATATGTAAATATTTTTTTCTAAAAAAATTATTTGAATGCAGATTGGGATCCGTTTACTTTATCGGTTAAACATTGTAAATCTTAAAGTGCCTTAAGTTTTGGGACGTAGGGTATATATCAACAGTTATGTGTTGCACGGGATAAAACTTGTTTCATGATAATATATCAATATGTAGATAAACATTATAATATCAACAAATGTATCTATCATATGTGATTGAAAAATTATCTTGTGTATTTAGAAGTTTCATACGTAGTATACTATAATTACCTAATCGATAGAGAAAATTAATTAAATGAGAGTAAAGAATAATAATAACACTATTTTCTTTCAATATGAAAACTTATACACGCCTACTTTGAGTGCCTATGTTGTACACCCGGCTGAGGTGCAAGCTGTACAGCCGGTGGCAATTTTGTAAATATAGTGAAAATCACAGTTTTTCTGCTAGATGAGCATTATTGTAATGTTAATGAGCAGTGGTCCAATTTTAATGAGTACTAATAATCTAATAATGAGCATTTTGTCATTACACGAAAGCTGATAACACAAATAAAAAACGATGGCATTTTTGTAATTTCAGTGAAAAACGCAATTTTCATTAGATGAGCATTAAAACACTTTTAATGAGCATCAGACGTATTCTTGGTGTGAGCTGTGGGGATTTGTAAAGTTGGCATGCCTGCATTTATAACCGTGGAAAAGGCCTTAATCTCAAACCCAAACAGTGTGGGCATTCCTCACTCCACCAATAGGAATTTATTATGGATCTGGGGGACCTTTTTTTCAAATTTTGAATTCTGAACAAAATCCAGGCCAAATTCTCGTCCATTAAAACAACCGTCCGTATTAAACTTATTGTGGATCTAGAAACCGGCCAATGATAATTAGGTATTTGGGTAGGAAATCTAGAATAAATCTCCGCAGTAACTCACTCGCTGGATCCCAATATACTCCATCCGTCCCACTGGACTTTGCCAACTTTCCCTTTTTGTTTGTCCCAAAAAACTTTGCCACTTCCTTTTTAAGCAATGAATTTGTGGCTCTGTTTATTTCTCTCTCTGAACAAATTTCAACCACACAGTTTTTACTATTCTAATTTCTCACCTAACGTCAACTTGGCAAAGTTGAGTGGGACGGAGGTAATATTAACCAATCGGAAAACGCTTAGGAGATCCGAAAATGTGAATGAAATCCCAACAGTGCCCAAAGTTGCTGCATCCATGATTCATTCCATCCAAAAAAATCTAACGGCAGACCCAACATGACAATTTTTTTACTCATCATACACTTAGCAAACCATTGTTCACGGAGCAATAAACACAAAAGAACTGAAAGTGAAGTTTTTGAGGGGGAAAACTTACCCCAAAAACATTTTGCCTTTTAGATTATAATAGATTGGGAAAACTGTCAAATAGGTCCTCGAACTTTCATAAAAATGTCAATTAAGTCCTTCTATAGGAGGTTCTGTCCGGCCGTCGCGATTTGGGGCAGTTCCCAGTGGAATTTTTTGATGAATTTTTTTTAGCATCTTATTCACCAAGTCTAGTTTACTCATATCACATTTCAGCTAAAAATTCAATCGGGAACACATTCAAATTAATTCTTGAAGATAACTGCACATTTTTGCGTTCTTGAATTAATTTGAATGTGCTCCCGATTGAATTTTTAGCTGAAATTTGTTATGAGTAAACTAGACTTGATGAATAAGATGTTCAAAAAATTTCATCAAAAAATTCCACCGGGAACCACCCCAAATTGCGACGACCGGAAAAAGTCTCCTATAGAAGGACTTAATTGATTTTTTTATGAAAGTTCGAGGACCTATTTGACACTTTTCCCTAATAGATTCCTTTACGTATCATCAATCTATACCGTATTGAAATGCAAACTAATTAAAGCAAATTAAAACTTATGTATAGTGAATAATGTTTATTGTTTTATTAGTCTGTATATGTATCTTGAAAAGCAAACTTTTTATTCCAAAATTTATGTATAGTTCAATTCCATTGGACTTTGTCAATCTTTTTTATTGTACAAAAAATCTAAGCATTTTTCTTTAATGTAAGCAATGTTCAATTATAACTTTCTTTTGTTATTTGTTCAAACTTCAATGACACAATATTTAAATTCTTATTTCACATGTCACTAAAATTGAACTAATGAATAATGTTTAGAAACAAAATTTATGTACGCATTATCATTAAAAACATTAAGAGCACCTTAACTCAAAGTCTGTATGGTTAGCATCCAAAACACCCATTTCATCAATTTCAATTTTTGATCGGAGTATCCCCAAAATCCCAAATGTATGTCGGGTTAGTTTTAGGGGGTGTTTGGAATCAGAATCAGAATCGATTTTCAGAAGTTGGTCTCCCCAACTTCTATAAAAATTGATTCTAGGAGTAAATTAGAGCACCAGAAATATTCCTGCACTTCTATCCAAACACTTCAACTTCTGCTTTTGCTCCTGATAAAGCAGAAACAATTTTAAGAATCACATCCAAACATTCCTTAATATCCCTTTTCGGCCTCCATCTCTCTCCCTTTTCTCCTATAGCCCTACCCATATGACTCTTCTTTTTTCATTTTTTGTTCTTTATTAGTTTGTTTTAACTCTTCACATTCACTTTTTCATCAAACCTATATATTGAATGAATATCCACGGACTGCCTTGCACAACTTTCTATTATTTCCAATTACAAATCGGTAAATGTTTGGGTTCAAAGCTTGCGATTTAGGCGTTTTACAATATTAGAAGATGAGTTTTTTAATTGAGTTCTAATTTCTAATGTACTAGACTACTAGAGTATAAAAAAGTATTGGTTGATGTGTTGTAACTTCTAATCTACTCATGTACTACGTACGTTTGGAGCTTTATTATTTTTATCTTAATCTCACTTTCAGGTCTAGCCAAACATATCCAGGATTTTAGCAAGATTATATGACAATTCAAATTAGCAAGTTAGGTTAAAATCTTGACGTAATTTAGTAATTATATTCGGTGCATCTTTAACAAATGTTTCGAATCTTAACGTACCATTAGAAACTTTTTTCTTGAATTTCAACAGTTACCCTTTTTTAAAAAATAAACATGTAAGCCTTTATGCGTTGGAATCAATTCACTACAAAATTGTGATAATTAGTAAAATTGCCTAATTATGATATAATTATATGCAAATTTTAAATATATCTAATTCTTAAGATAAAGAAAAAGTTCAATTTAAGAAGAGTTACTGTTTTTTTTACTTCGACGGATAACACAATTTAGTGTTCAAACTAAAAAAGTCACCATTCAATAAAAACATTTGTGTTAAGGTTGGTAAAATTAGTGATCAGGCTCGTAAACCTTATATACTAATAACGTTGGTTATTAGATACTAAAATGTGTAACAATGCTTCATTATATTTGCTCAATGCAGCAAAGATTATATACACATAGTAGTGTTGCTTAGCTTGATGGAAACTAAGAGGCCGTTTGGCAACACTGTTTTTCGACTTATGAGGCTTATCAGCCAACTTTTTTACCAAACACTTAATTTTTGCTTTCGCGCGCAGAATTGTGTAATAAGTAGAAAAAGTAATTAAGGTTGGAGTTACTTTTCTGGTTGTATTGTCTGAAGTTACTGTAGATGACCATTTTAGCTATTTTTACATATAACTTTTTCTTTATTTTATTAAAAAAAATATATTTAAAAAAATGTTTTGCTTAAATCAGCAGAATCAGCCAATGCAGCCACTTCAGCTAGAACTTCATAAATTTCAGCATAATAAGCCAAATCAGCCGATTTTCGTGCTACCAAACGGGCTCCAATAACCAAAGAATAATAATGTGGCAATGTTTAGTAGCAAAATAAGTAGGACATTTCAGTAAACTTTCATTGCTTCTGGAAAATAAGCATTTGGAGTCATTATGAATGCTTCATATTCATCGATCTATAAATCATTCAGAGGCCGTTTGGTGACACTGTTTTTCAGTTTATCAGGCTTATCAGTCAACTTTTTCACCAAACACGTAACTTTAGTTTTCGCGCACTGAATTGTGTAATAATAAAAAAAGTAAGGTTGAAATTACTTTTCTGACTGTATTGGTTGAAATTACTGTGGATGGCTATTTTAGCTACTTTTACATACTCCGTATAATTTTTTCTTTATTTTATTAATAAAATATATTTTGAAAATAATTTTTCCTTAAATAAGAAGAATCAGCCAATGCAGGTATTTCAGCCAGAACTTCATAAATTTCAGCATAATCAGGCGAATCAGCCGATTTTCAAGTTACCAAACGGGCTCTCAGTGTTCATCCCTCGCCCAATGATTTTAAGGATCCGTCTATCCATGTTTACTAAGGTAAATCATATATTGAAGGA